CACACATGGCAACGCCATGCCATACACACACATGGCAACGCCATGCCATACAAACACATGGCATCGTCATGCCATACACACACATGGCAACGCCATGCCATACACACACATGGCAACGCCATGCCATACACACACATGGCATCGCCATGCCATACACACACATGGCAACGCCATGCCATACACACACATGGCAACGCCATGCCATACACACACATGGCAACGCCATGCCATACACACACATGGCAACGCCATGCCATACACACACATGGCAACGCCATGCCATACACACACATGGCAACGCCATGCCATACACACACATGGCAACGCCATGCCATACAAACACATGGCATCGTCATGCCATACACACACATGGCATCGCCATGCCATACACACACATGGCAACGCCATGCCATACACACACATGGCATCGCCATGCCATACACACACATGGCAACGCCATGCCATACACACACATGGCATCGCCATGCCATACACACACATGGCAACGCCATGCCATACACACACATGGCATCGTCATGCCATACACACACATGGCAACGCCATGCCATACACACACATGGCATCGCCATGCCATACACACACATGGCAACGCCATGCCATACACACACATGGCATCGCCATGCCATACACACACATGGCATCGCCATGCCACACACACACATGGCATCGCCATGCCATACACACACATGGCAACGCCATGCCATACACACACATGGCAATGGCATGCCATACACACACATGGCAACGCCATGCCATACACACACATGGCAACGGCATGCCATACACACACATGGCAACGCCATGCCATACACACACATGGCAACGCCATGCCATACACACACATGGCATCGCCATGCCATTCACACACATGGCAACGCCATGCCATACACACACATGGCATCGCCATGCCATACACACACATGGCAACGCCATGCCATACAAACACATGGCATCGTCGTGCCATACACACACATGGCATCGCCATGCCATACACACACATGGCAACGCCATGCCATACACACACATGGCAACGCCATGCCATACACACACATGGCAACGCCATGCCATACACACACATGGCATCGCCATGCCATACACACACATGGCAACGCCATGCCATACAAACACATGGCATCGTCATGCCATACACACACATGGCATCGCCATGCCATACACACACATGGCAACGCCATGCCATACACACACATGGCAACGCCATGCCATACACACACATGGCAACGCCATGCCATACACACACATGGCAACGCCATGCCATACACACACATGGCAACGCCATGCCATACAAACACATGGCATCGTCATGCCATACACACACATGGCATCGCCATGCCATACACACACATGGCAACGCCATGCCATACACACACATGGCAACGCCATGCCATACACACACATGGCAACGGCATGCCATACACACACATGGCTTCGCCATGCCATACACACACATGGCAACGCCATGCCATACACACGCATGGCAACGCCATGCCATACAAACACATGGCATCGCCATGCCATACACACACATGGCATCGCCATGCCATACACACACATGGCAAAGAAATACATCATGTATGCGAAACTGGGTAGTCTAGGTATGCAATGCTCTCCTGCCTTCCACGCTCAACACCACCTATTGCCCCTCACCTTCCACCCTTCTCCCCAACCTTTCTCTGCACCTTCCCTCCCCTTCTCCCCTTCTTCACTTCTCTTCTCCCCTTCTCCCCTTCTCCCCTTCTCTTCTCCCCTTCTCCCCTTCTCCCCTTCTCTTCTCTCCTTCTCCCCTTCTCCCTGCCTCCCCCATCCCCCCTCCCGCCTCCCCCCCCCCCCCCCTCTCCCGCCTCCCCCCTCCCGCCGCCCCCCTCCCGCCTCCCCCCTCCCCCCTCCCGCCTCCCCCCTCCCGCCTCCCCCCTCCCGCCTCCCGCCTCCCCCCTCCCGCTTACTTCTCCATGAACTCAAATTCCGACTGGACGCTCCGGATTTAGCGGCACATGGAAGCCAATAGAAGCCAGCCATCCGCGTGGCGCGCCGCGCCATGCCATGCACGGGATTCGACACGTGACGGAGACGCAAGGGAGGGGATCGAGAAATGATTGCTCGAAAACGAAGTGTGAAGAGAGATTACTTGATAGAGCCGTGAATGCGAGACAGTACAGCGATAAAAGAACCGAATAACCACTTCACGCTTCGTGATTGAGAGAAGGAATGGTCAAGGAGGTCGCGGCGCTACGGCAACCCGTGTTTTGAGGCGCCTAGAAAAAAAAGAAGTGAACCACTTCACACTTCGTGAATGAGTGGTCAAGGAGGTCGCGACGCTACGGCAACCCGTTCTCGACTCGCTCGTCGTCCCCCATCGCTCGAATTCCAAAAAGCTGTGCATGGTGACTGTTGACTCGACTTAAAACCGGAGTCCCAAACAGCCCGAAAGTGCCTCAACCTTCCTAACTTTGAGAAGGGGTGACCCAGTAGGTACGACTCACTTCGCAAATCGGGGGGACAATTTTCGTCACGCGAAAAAACTGTTCTAGCGAGGACGAAAGCAGTGACGATTTCGCCAACAAATTTGAAGCCCGTCCGAAACTGTCTGCGAACCAGTTCTGACGTTGCATTCCAGATCTGGTTATTTTCGCGAAACTTTCTTCCTTTGCGACCCCGGACCACCAATTTCGACACCACCCTGGCTCGCGAGCCAGTCACCTTTCTCTCCCCTTTCAACCTTCCTAACTTAGAAACTCTTGGATCCTCCGGGCCACCACGTGACAAGATGTGCTCGAATGCTCGAATCGTCCTGTGGATGAGCGACGCAACGCACTGACCTCTTCGAATTCGTACCCAATGACCTTCTCCGCCTCAATTCTCGATGCTCCGCGCGCTGCGGCTCTCAAAGACAACCTACTAGGCGACATTAGGCGATCGAATCCTAATGTCCGACGGAAAAAACGTTGGTCTAATTGCTCAATAATAGCCGTTCTTGCAGCCTGAATCTAAGTCTGTACAGCTTGAAGATTATCGGGCGCATCATACATAGTGGGTTTACAGCTCATGTATCACTCTGCTCAGGCTGGTATGTAATGGTTGAAAGCTGTGAAACAAACGTACCTCTGTAGAACGTACAACATCGTAGTCAACCGCTTAAAATGGACGGCCAGCCAGCAGCATGTTTCAGCTTATCGTCAATTTCTCGTCATTCTGGCATTGCATGTGCGAACATCTTTCGCCAAACTGCGAAATTTCCGATACCCTTTCGCGTGTGCAAAGTGCGCAAAAACTCGACGTCGAGCAACGTCGGTGAATTTCCACCCTCGGATCAAAGGTTCCAACCGTCACGATTCACCGACGTTCCTCGACGTCGAGTTTGTGCAGCACTTTGTACACGCCTTAGATCGCCTTCCTGAGATGGGGCCCCATTCGGCCCCATCCGAAGTCCCCCAGCAAAAGTGCACGAAACACGTGCCTGTGGCATGGCAGTAAATGGGCCATCAATGTGGACGTCGCATGAGCAATCAGCTGAGGGTCGTGCGAAATTCCCTCACGTTAACTTTTCCTGCCGCCGAACGTCAGAACGACAGTCGCGCTTGACTGTCACGGAACCAAAAAATGAACATTGTCTGGCGCGCATACTAATAGCACGATGCAATTGGGCTGAAAACCCTAAACGTTTTACCGGATTCCTCCCAGTGTGGTTTCGACCGTCTTATGGGAGCGGGTGGCCGTTGAAAACTGTCGTATGAACGCTCGATGCAAACGCATGTGAGTGGTTGCACCAAATCTTTTTTTTTTTTCGCTCTAATCGACTCCCGTCGCATGGCACGTGTGGTGGGTGTGACCCATATCAGTTCTGCCACGCTGGACCAACGGCGCTGCACCCCCATTCGGCCCCATCTCAGGAAGGCGCCCTTAGTCTTGATTTCTGAAAATGTGGCTGCCACGATTGCGGTCACTCGTCACTGTGCTCACACTTCGTCAAACAGAAAGTACTTGTACACTTCATGCTCAAAAGACGTTCACAATCTTTGCCCTATCAAAGGGTGTGAAGCGAGCACATGTTTTTCACCCTGCTCGCCAAAATTTGCCAAGGAAAAAAATCGATTTGTATTGGGTCAAGTGGTAACATAGCAAAACATCTCGCGAAGTCACGGAAGCCAGCGCGAGAACCTCTTGATTAACGGTTGCAAAAAAAACTTGTACTCTGCGTGCAGCCGATCCTGCTAAATTGGAAAATGGAGAATCAAAGTGAATTTACAAAACAATTCGCGTGCAACATCTGAGCATCATGTGTTTACTACCGCGTCGAGCTAGTGCGACAAAGCAGTCACTGTGCGTGTCACTGCTGGACAGTTCCCGCGATTAACTGCCAAGCCAATGCATTGCTGCCACACTTCTGCCAAAGCATTCATGAGGAGGTCCTTGATGGATTCCGATTGACTTCCTTCTTTTTGGCGCACGCACGCGGTGAAGTGAACACCTTCAACACCACCGCCTGCCACAAGATCTGTCTCGTCTCTCGCCGCCACCACCCATGGCACGCGTCAAGCCCGCCGTGAGTGCCAGCAGAGTGTGGTGGTGTGGATCAGCAGCAGAGCTTGTCGAGGAGTGAATCATTCTGTGATTGGTGCTACAGCAGCGGTGGCTCAACGCAGCAAGCACCTGCGACCGCACAAGCTCCGGGGGAAAAGCTCGGGTCGCACAAGCGCCAAGCGCAAGTACCGCTAGCTCTCCCCGCAGCAGCAGTGGCCGTGACTGACCTCGCAAGCTCGGGGGCTCGGTCGCAAGCTCGGAGGAAAAGCTCGGTCGCACAACGCAAGCGCAAGTACCTCTCTCCCCGCAGCAGCAGACTGACTGACCGCGCAAGCTTGCGGGAGCGCAGATCTCAAGATGGATTTGGAAATAGTACCATCGCCTTCAGATCTAAACATCCCTACTAGTAGCTCTACTGTACTACTACTACTGGCACTCGAATCATGTCGCCCCAGAATAGTTACCGTACTAACTACATCGCCATGCCCGGTACGAGCATGGGAGCGCCGGCGGGCGTGGCGGCAGGAACGGCGAATCTCCGAGCGCCGGCAGCAGGCTCGGAGCAGCCGCGGCGCCGGGTCACATGCGACGCGACCCTGCTGCTGTCCGTCTACCTGGCCCTCCACGCCGCGCTCTCCCACTCGCCTCCAGATATGGCCGCGCGTGAGTGCAGCAGCGGCGGCATGTGTATCATGTGTGCACCGGCGCAGGTGCAGCGTGAACGCCGCAGTCAGGCTGTCTGACTCTCTTACTATCAAACGCCGCAGTCAGGCTGTCTGACTCTCATACTACCAAACGCCGCAGTCAGGCTGTCTGACTCTCATACTACCAAACGCCGCAGTCAGGCTGTCTGACTCTCATACTACCGAACGCCGCAGTCAGGCTGTCTGACTCTCTTACTATCAAACGCCGCAGTCAGGCTGTCTGACCCTCTTACTATCAAACGCCGCAGTCAGGCTGTCTGACTCTCTTACTATCAAACGCTGCAGTCAGGCTGTCTGACTCTCTTACTACCAAACGCCGCAGTCAGGCTGTCTGACTCTCTGTACCTCATTCCCGTTATCAGGGCGCTATACCTCATTCCCCATCTCCCCATCCTTGTCTGTCTTATTGGTCCCTCCCGCACCCATCATCATCATCCCTCCCTCCGCTTTCTCCTATCTCCGCCCCGGCATCCACAGTCATTGGCCGGCCCGTGTGGCTGTACCACTCGCAGCAGCCGCTGTCGCAGCACAAGGGAGCAGCGGGACTGCTTATAACGGAGCAGCAAGTCAGATCCACGGACGATCTAGGGGTTCAAGACTCTGTAACGGGGATGGCTCAGAATGAATTGGAAAAACAGTCGGGTGCCGTGGTGGCAGCGGAACCAGAACCAATGCGTGGGGAAGTGGCGGGGGCGGTGGCGGAGGCGGAGGCGGGGGCGGAGGCGGAGGCGGAGGGGGAGGCGGAGGCGGAGGCGGGGGCGGAGGGGGAGGCGGAGGCGGAGTGTGGGGTGGAGGAGGAGCGGCGGGCGGGGGAAGGGTGGACCGCCGCGGCGGTGCCGAATTTTGGGCGAGTGGAGGTGGAGGGGGTGGGCGCAGAGAGGGCTCTCACCAACCAGCGCACGTGCTTCTCCGTGACTGGTGGGCCTGGAAAGATGGGGGCGGCGGTAAGGGGATGCGATGCGAGGAGCAGTTAGCTTCGCCGTGACACAGTTCGCACCTCGCAGCTCGCAGCACACAGCTAATCTTCTTTTTCGCTTCCCTGTTACTCACGCTCTTACTCCTATGTTTGGTTCCAGGCCTCCTGAGAAAGCATTATGTGCACTTTCTAGCAATGCCATGATGACCCATGCCTCGCATTGGTTTGCACGTGCTTGGCTTGCATGGTCTGTCGCTGCATCCCTGTCGCTGCTGTTGCTGCTAATGCTGCTGTTGCTGGTGTTGCTGGTGTTGCTGGTGTTGCTGTTGCCGCTGCTGTTGCTGGTGTTGTTGGTGTTGTTGATTCCGCTGCTGTTGCTGGTGTTGTTGCTGCTGCTGCTGCTGCTGCTGCTGCTGCTGCTGCTGCTGCTGTTGCTGCTGCTGCTGCTGCTGTTGCTGCTGCCGCTGCTGTTGCTGCCATTGCTGCTATTGCTGCTGTCGTGCCTGTTGCTGCTGTCGTGCCTGTCGTGCCTGTTGCTGCTGTTACACATGGCAGCATTCGATGAAGTTGGAGACGCGTTCGACGTTGGTTGCAGGTGCGTCAGTAACGGGCAGGTGGGCTGCGGCGACCTTAGAGAGCGGGAGAAGCGAGCGGCGTTGGTTGCAGCAGGTGCTGTGTCCATCGCACTTCCCTCTCTCCTGCTCCTCTCCCTCCCCCTTTCCCGACATGCCATGCCATGCCATCCTTACCCAAGCGCAACACCCATTGTCCCATGACATGCGCACTCCACCTCTCTCCTCCCCGCCTCTTTGCCTGCCTCTTCAGCCTCGTGCAATCGAGCATTCCTCTCCACTCTCCATCGCCGCTCTCCGCTCTCCATCGCCCCTCTCCACTCTCCATCACCCCTCTGCGTTCTCCCGCAGGCAGCGGGCGTTCTTCGTGGCACTCCTGGCATTTGACACCCTCGCCAACCGCACCCTCACCACCAACACCACCAGCGGCAGCAGCAACAGTGCCAACAGCAGCAGCAGCAGTGCCAGCACTGGCGGTAGCAACAACAGCACCAGTGAGGGCAGCAGCGACAGCGGGGTGGGTGGGGACGACGCGGAGAAGCGGCAGAGAGTTCCCAGGAGAACGGCGAGAGTGACAGAGGCGCCGGCATGGGATGATGCTGCTAACGGGTGGACTGACCTGCGACTGGCAGCTCGAGTCACGTACCGCCCCTCCTCTTCCTCACATGAGGTGCTCTCCTCTCTCTAGAAAGGTCCTTGTATTTAGACAGCCCGGGTAAACAAAGGACATACATATTTTGAGACGTCTCGAAAGTCCTCTCTTGGACGGTCCTTGTATTTAGACAGCCTGGGTGCAAAGAGGTAGACTTGTACCAACAGCCTAGCACGCTACGGTAGCTCTAGCTGCGAATGGGCCTTTGAATCAATGCACGGTCAAACAGACAAGGTAAGGCCATGCGAACTAGCAAGATACGTCCGACAGTTACGGCCCCACAACCCTACAGGTCCATGGGGGTGCTATCAAATAGAACAGCTGGGCCTCACTGAGAGGTGCGGTGCGGCCTTGCATGCAGCCTGAGACGTCTCAAAAATACTATAATATCACGTGGCTAACTGCTTCGCTGCATTGGTGCTAGCCGAGAGGGTTCACGCGTTGTAGAAGAGTGAGGAGAGGTCCCCCTGGAGCGACCGTCGCGAGAGATAGGAGAGAGCACCTTGTGTTGGGAGTCGCCCTGGAGCGATGGCCATGGGTTGATTGTCATTAAGCGGGGCAAGAAGCCTCTACTATCCGGTTGGTCGTTGCGTGAAGTGGCTTTTGAGTTGATTCTCTCGCTTCTCCTCTGCCTGCGCCACACTCAAACACCCCTGCCCTCTCTCTCTCTTCGCCCCCTCTCCACTTGTCCTATAGGCGCCCCCTGCTCTGCGGCTCCTTGTGGAATCCATGCGTCCTATGGGGGGTACATGCGTCCTATGTCATCTATGCATGCCCAGGTGTGCTTCACAGCGCCCTTCCCCGGACCCTACCTGCTCTCGCTGGATCTGCTCGTCACCAACGCCTGTCAGATGCGCACTGCTCTCAACAGAATCTACAACCAAGGCTACCAAAAGTAGGTCCTACCAGCTGCTCCTCCCCATGTGAGCACCCATGTGAGCACCCGTGGGATCTCATGTGAGGACCCATGGGATCTCATGTTCCTAGGATGTCAGATGCGCACTGTTCTCAACAAATTCTACCAAAAGTAGGTCCTGTAGTGGGTGGGGATGCACCGCCAGCAGCCACACTGAACCCAAAACCCCAAATAGTAAACCCTGCTTGTGTCCGTGCGTGTGTCCGTGCGTGCGTGCGCGTGCGCGCTGTGTGTGTGTGTGTGTGTATGTGTTGTCAGAACATATAGCTTACTTATTTGTGTAGGCTATAGTGGGGTATCCCATAGGGGGTACAACCCAATTAGGGTTTCCTATTTGTACTCACTTCGTTCATACTCATTTCATTCTCGTTCAATTCTTCTCATGGAATCAGAGCAGGTCCCCTCCTAGGGACTGTTCCTAGGGCCCACCGAAGCGCGCCCCGAGGCGCGCGTTCTTTTTTTTCGCGACCCTGCGTGTCGCCCCTACCGTCGCGCTCCCGCCGCTCCCTCCTCTTACGGCCGCCCGCCCTAGTGCCTTGACGGCCGCCCGCTCTAGCGCCCGAACGCCGCCCGCCCTAGCGCCCTGACGGCCGCCCGCCCTAGCGCCCTGACGGCCGCCCGCCCTAGCGCCCGAGCGCCAACCGCCCTAGCGCCCTGACGGCCGCCCGCCCTAGCGCCCTGACGGCCGCCCGCCCCAGCGCCCGAGCGCCGCCCGCCCTAGCGCCCGAGCGCCACTCGCCCTAGCGCCCTTACGGCCGCCCGTCCGAACGCCTGAGCGCCGCCCGTCGTCGCCCCAACGCCCTAGCGCCCGACGCCCGCGAGCCGCCCGTCGCAGCCGCCCGTGAGCTCCCTGAGCCGCCCGCGCCGCCGTCCCTGAGCCGCCTGTGCAGCCGCCCGCGAGCCGCCAGCGAGCCACCCGTCGCGACACCAGCGCCGCACGAGCCGCCCGTACAGCCGAGCAGCCCGAGCCGCCCGAGCCGCCCGCGCCGCCCCAGCAACCCGAGCCGCCCGAGCCGCCCGAGCCGCCCGAGCCGCCCGCGCCGCCCCAGCAACCCGAGCCGCCCGAGCCGCCCGAGCCGCCCGAGCCGCCCGAGCCGCCCGAGCCGCCCGCGCCGCCCCAGCAACCCGAGCCGCCCGAGCCGTGCCGCTGTTCCTGAGCTGTGTTCCTCTGCTGCTGACCTACCCGACTCTCCCAGCCCGGTGAGACTTTCAGCTGCTGCCATGGCCACCCCCAATGTTCTTACTTTTGACGCTGAGGGGAGGGCCATTGACTTTGCCGTCTGGATTGAAGACCTGCAGCTGTACTTACTGTGTGATGCGATAGATGAGGTCTCTCTCTTTGACTTTGTCTCTGGCGCTGTCCCTGCCCCACCTGCTGATGCTGACTCTGCCGTTCGCTCCAAGTGGGCGACCCGCGATGCTGCTGCACGTCTTGCTGTGCGTCGCCACCTCCCTTCCTCTGAGCGTGCCCACTTTAGTCAGTGCAAGACCGCTCAGGCCTTGTACGACGCTGTAGTTGCACGCTACTCCTCCCCTTCCTCCGCTACCCTTAGCCGCCTCATGCTACCGTTTCTCTTCCCTGACCTCGCCTCCTTTCCCACTTTTGCTGACCTCGTTACCCACCTCCGTGCTAGTGACACCCGCTACCGCGCTGCCCTTCCTGCTGAGTTCCGCGCTGCGAACCCTCCTCCCATGTACATCACTCTCTACTTTCTCGTCACCCGTCTCCCTGAGTCCCTTCGTGTCGTTAGGGACCAGTTTCTCTCTGTCTGTCCCACCACTCTCACTGTCGACCTCCTTGAGGAGTCTCTGCTAGCGGCTGAGAAGAGTATTGTCGCTGTAGGGGCCTCTCGGGGTGACCCTCGCACCCCCATCTTTGAGGGGTGTGGTCCTTCCCCCCTGCTGCCCTCTGTCGCCTCTGCCGCTGCGGCCGACCTCACTGGTTTTGAGTCGGTCGGCGCGGCGTCTGCCCCCAGCCGCAGACGCCGCTCTGGCAAGGACAAGGGGGGCAAGGGAGCGGGTGGAGCTAGAGGGGGCGGTGGAGGAGGCGGTGGGGGTGGCGGGGGGAGTGGGGGTGGCGGTGGGGGTGGTGGCGGGAGTGGAGGTACTGGTGGCGGCGGTGGTAGCGGAGGAGGCGGTGGGAGCGGTGGGAGCGACGGTCCTGGTGGGGGAGGTGGCGGTGGAGACGGGGGTGGCGGTGGAGGCGGGGGTGGCGGTGGAGGCGGGGGTCGGAGTGGCTCGTCCCAGCGGAGCAGCTCTGGGGGTGGTCAGCGCCAGCAGCAGCAGCAGCAGCAGCCGCAGCAGCAGCCACAGCAGCAGCAGCGCTCTCGCACCGTCCCCGCCCCTCAGCAGCTCCGTGAGTGGTACTTACAGCGTCAGCGTGGTGGTGCGCTTGGTCCCTGCCCCTACGTTCTTCGCACCGGTGACCGTGCAGGGGAGAGGTGTGGAGGCGCCCACACAGCCCGCCGCTGCTTTGGCCGCCTGACCGACGCCTGGCGTCAGCAGTTTCCGGAGGCCGCTGAGATCCCCCGCTGGGGAGAGCTGTCTAGGGCTGGTGTAGCTATTTATGATCTTGATTTTGATGCTATTCTCGCTGCTATGTATGCTGTGACTGGTAGTGATGAGGATGACTGTTACCGGTGTTTCCCGCCCGACCCGGGCATTGGTACTGCCGCGTCAGGTACTAGTGAGGCTGCTGCTCTAGGTGCCAGTGCGTCTGTGCTCTCAGGTGCTGGTGAGTCTGCCCTCTCAGGTACTGTGTCGGCTTCGGCCTCTCACACCTTCACCCTTGACTCTGGAGCGTCTCGCTCCTTCTTTAGGGACCGCACCACTCTCACGCCGCTGAGTCGGCCGGTTGCGGTGTCCCTGGCTGACCCCTCTGGGGGGCCTGTCCTGTCTCGCTTCTCCACTGTCCTCCC